TCAAAAAAAAAAAAAAATACAATTACCAATCTTTTTGCAGACGAAAGAAGAGCGCGATGATCTTGATTGACAAAGCTGTCTTGTAACTGTTATTCTACTTTACTCAGATCTTTTCTACTGCAATCAAATTCAACATGTGTGTTCCACAGCCAAGTGAATTTTATTGAGTAAGCTGTCACTTACAGGAATTTTCAGGATAGACAGAACGCGCCGATCGAAATTGACAACTTTGCACAAACTCGCCGCGTTTCTTTGAACTTCACTTCCGATCGGGCGCTTGGATTCGCAAGAATGGGACGTGCACATGACGTGCTCGACGCGTCGTGCAAAAATACTCGACGACGCGATTTCGCGTGGATTGACGTTTCAGCGACGTTTACTGCGATATCAGAGGCACGGCCTGACAAATTAATAAACGCGATATACGGCTCCGTTCTCCGAGTTAACAGTGACACGCGGACCGTCGAACTGAACACGAACGGAGCGGGCACTCGCTCCCACTAACTATCCCGCTCCCACCCCTTTCTTTCCACCCCGCGATTCCTTCCTTGTTTTTTTTCTCTTATCCTATCTGTGCATCTCCTTTTATCTCCACGCTCACAGGTTTAAATATTTAAACAAATCCGCAATGTTGTAAAACAATGTTTTCAATACGCAAAATTTAATTATCAAAAATTTAATTAATTTCTGAATATATATATATATATATATATGCGATATATGTATATATATATATATCGCACTATTTATATATACATCTCGAGTCAACTCTCTACTATTAGCTTTAATTTATTTATATTAATAATATAATTTATATTAATAATTAATTAATATCGATTCATTTATCAAGTAATATTTTGCTCTCTTGAATAGAATTATTAATCTTTTTGTTTGACATTTGTAAAGCAAAATGAGAAATTAAGAAGGATAAATTATACAATAGAAGGTCTACCGTAAATAATTACGCCGGTTGATTAATTAAGTTTATTTGAGCGAAATTATTGTCAAATGTCACAGTAAACATAGAAAAGTCAGAGTAATAAAAAAATATTAAAATAAATTTAAAATTAAGATTATTGTTTATAATTATTATTTATAATGAATTTTATGAATTGAAATATAAAGTTGATTAATTAATTAATGTTATAAATATTTTTTATTAAAATTATATTTGATGGAAAAAGGAAGCGGGCCAAAACTGGTAATAAATTGTAATATTGAAGGTACACTAGATAAAAACGATGCCAGCCAAAAAATACAGATTTTATTCATCCACCTATAACGCATACACAATAAAGTTGATTAAATCCATTTCAACTGCAAGATATATGTAATGGGATGTACATATATAACATATACAGGATGGAGCAGCCTACATCTTTATGACTTGGTTTATCTCTGGGTGCTTATCACAAAATGTCTTGAACAACAGAGATCACCCGAGTCACAAAATTAGATGTCTCACTCTGTATACAAGATATATATATATATAAAATATATGTATATATTCATACAAGCTATCCCGTCGTTGCCGCGTTACCTCTTCAAGGTGGATCTTTTTTTAGATAATTTAAAGATGAAGATCTTAATACGTGAAACTTCTCTCAAACGAGAACTAATTATCTCAAACTTTTGCCGATTTACGATTAACCTAACTGTAATTACTTTCCCTTGAAAAAGTATGTCAGACTCAGATATTTTCGTATTAGGACACTCGCCTCGAAATCATTTAAGGAAATCCCCCCCCCCCCTCGACGATTAAGTGCGGCAGTGACGGGGTATCCTGCACGCGCATATACATACACATGTACACATACCTTATTTATATATGCATTTATATTCATATAATTTAATGTAATGCTCAAACTCTCTGTTCGCTACGATTCTAAGGTACATGATCTACACATGCGGATTTGGTAGCATCCGTATTTCGCGTTCTCGTGTCTCTCATAAGCGTCCTCGAGTGTTCCGCCTGTCGCTCTCGTTATAAACCGGATAAACAAAGATGGATATTTTTTTTTTTCTTTTAATCACGTCTACCACGTCGCGCACGCTGCTCCAGAAGTCAGACAAGTAAGTGCCTCTCTCTGGGCAACGTATTACGCAAACGGCGTGTCGGTGATTACGAAAGGAAAAGGGAGATACAGACGATCCCTAATTCTAAAAACATTTGCCAAAACTTTACGAAACGAAGAACAGGCAAGAAGCGAACGTTGACGTGGTCTTACGGGCATCGTTAAAAAAAAATGATTTCTCGCAAACGATCACTCCGATCGGTCTCTGATCAATCCGACTCGCCTGCGTTGTCGAATTTCTCATTTGAAAAAAAAAAAAAATCAGGATTTTACAAAGTGGTACAAGATAATGGTACAAGACTCGAATTATCTCGAATTATCTCTGCGAGGACGACAATGATTACACGAAACTCTTGTTCCCGGGATACTCTTTCTAGGCGCTATCGATTCGATAACGCCCGTTAACGCTAAATGTCTCGAGCTTGCCGCTCCGTCAGAAGAGTAATTTTTATTTCGCTATTGAGTAATATATAGTAAATTTCCTTTCGTGTCACCTTGTTCCCCTAATCGTCAAGTTTCGATCGTCGATTTGAGAACTTTTTTTCGGAAAGCTGTCAACGCGGACACAATTTTAACGAAACGACACTTCGCGATATTTACGTCGCATGTTGTTCGAAAGCGCTTAGTATTGATAATAATAATAATAAGAATAACAGATTATGATAGATAATTGTAATAAATTAGATAAGATATATAAGATAAATATAATAAATTATAGCGGAGATGTATAACGTCCTAAACAGTATTTTTTAGTTCACCACCGTCCAAATATATAAATTAATTGTTTCTCAATTCTTTCCGCTCGGTGCCCAGCACCTATTTATATTACAACGAAGAACTTCAAAGATCATAAAAGATGCGTCAAAGAATGATAAAATTTAATTAATAAATACTTAATTCTACTTTATGTCTTTAATCAGCATAAATAAACAAATTATCTTTGAATTAATTTTTTAATTGCCAAACGCTAACGTGTTAAACTTAGATTAGTGTTAAATTAACTTTTTCTCAGTAACATGGGCGTTTAGAAAGAAATGTCAAAGCGCTGAAAGTTGTATAAAAGATACGTATGCTTAACGATGTACAAACTTTGCTGATAAATACGGCGTGTGATATGTAGTCATAGTTGACGTAATAATCGAGCGATTTGGCAAACGCGACTGCAATGAAAAGAGGGTTGATACCGAGGATCGATTTGCGATCTGCGATGACATCCGATGCGAATACAAGTCAACACGCTGGAGTAACGAACGATATTATAAATTGGCACGGGCGATGCGATCGGCGCACAACTGAGTCATCCCGTCAGAGATCCGAGGCATCCCTTCAGCTGCGCGGCGCGAAATCAGGAAAGCAGAAAGGGAGCGCTCGCGTAAACATCTTCCGATTGGAATATCCTATTTTCTTCGCTGAAATCGGCGATAATCGCGTGTACCGTGGTCATCGATATTGTTAGATCGCGCTGAAACGCTCCTCGTGGGCCTTCTTGACAATCGCTAGTTTGGAGTGAGGATCCGCCGTCGATAATCCCGTGTATGGTGGTTCCCTAGTGCCGTGGAGCATCAGCGTCCATTCTTTTAGCCATCCGTGTTGAGGCGTCTGAGAGTTGAAGCTTACCTAAAGGATTAAATCGGAATGTTTGAATAGAGTTATCCTCTAAGTGAATAAGACGAAAAGAGAGTAAGAAATTCGCACAAACGAAGTTTTTTACCTCCAATAACCAAGTTCCTTGAGGGTACTCTCCCCACGTGTGCGTTGTCATGAACGGCCACTTCGTGAATCCATCCCTGTGATCATCGTCGTTCACTCGGCGACTCAAGATCATAGATCTGAAAAATCACAGAAATTTATTTATATTAATTTTTAATAAAAATTAAGAAGTAAAAGACATTCATACACACGGGATTAAAGCGGAAGAAAAAGCGCTCGGTTTCATTCAAGAAAAAAGTTAAAAGTTGCAAATAAACAAAAAAAAAAGAAAAAGAAATAATTAAAAGTTTTCTCGAACACGAATCCGCGTCTTGTGGATTCGTGTCGATTTTAAAGTATCGAATTTAAAGTTTGTGGGCAAACCAGCGACTCAATTTTTATCTGTTTTATTCCGCTTAGGTCAGGAACATGGCGTACCTGGTGCCCATCGGAGACGTGAGGAACAGCTCGAGATCACCGCGCCGAGTTGCATTTACGGAGATGACGGCTTGCACGTGCTCCAAATAATTGACGGCGTATTCCGTGCCGGCGCACGCGTCAGTTTTAATCTTCACGAGGATGGATCGATCGCTCGTGACTTTCCTGGAGGATAAAAACGGTTCGAAAAACAACGGATTAGCGGCGGATCGAGAAAAAAAAACTCGATGGCTAAATCACTTGGAGAACCTCGTCGTTGAAAGTAACGTATCGCAAAATATTTGGTCCATTACTTGGATCAATACTCGGTTTCGCTCAGACCACCTTCGATCATTGCCGATCTCTCAGAAAAAGCTACTTACTGAGTGTCGAGCATGGTGCCGGCCTCGCAATGGTATCTCGGAGGTACCGTTTTCCATTTTTTAGCCAGGGCTACCATAGCGCCCGCATCCAGGACGCCGTATCCGAAAAGATGATTAAATTCGAGTCCGACGCCGTTCATGGTCCAATGAAATCTATCCTTCGCGTCGAACAGAGAATTTCTTTTCGAAGTTAGGACGGTCAAATGCTGAATATCTCTCCAGGTCAGTTGCGGACTGAAATGGAAAGCTCTTATAGCTTGTAGCAGCTTGGAATTACAATGGTTAAAGGGAAACTTTCGTTAATAGAATGATGGCACGCACGGTGAATTTGAACCAAAGTTACACTAGGAAAAAAGTTTAGTTTTTGCTTTCAGCAAAATTGTTTAGTAGAAGTATTCCTCAACAGCAGCCAAATGTTTTGCTTTATATAACAGAAAATTTAATTATTTCTGTAAAATATATTTGTCTACTTTGTAAATCAAATTTCGTATATAGCGAAGCTATTATTTTTATAGATATAAATATAAATGGTTAGAGGTGATATATCATGTGATAATTAAAGCTGTTGCTATGTAAAGAAAAAAGAACGAAGAAAATTCATTTTGTTAACATTTTTTTATTATTGTAACAAAGAATTAATAGTAATAGGAAAAAAATGTAAATAACAAAAAATACTAGTTTGTATTATAAAAAATAATAGTTTATACTACAATTTTGTTCGATATATTTACGGAATAAAACTACAAAATCGAATTTTAACCAAATTATCGTATCGCCTCAACAAAATTTTGATTCGCAGATTAAGGCATTTTTTTTTTTTAGTATGTTATTAAACATCAAATATTAATGTAGGAGCGTTAAAATGTATGGAATGTCTCTACGATCTTCCACGTTCATCATGATATAAATAATTTATAAAATCGTAATTTATAAATCTCGCATTTATAATTTATAAATTATAAATACGAGAATAAATTACTTCATTGCGTTAAGAATATAAATTACGCTCTGAGATGTAGTAATGAAAAGACCAAGAAAGAAATAGGAATATGCGTACTCACTTAGCTTCGAGAGCAAGCGCGAATACTCCCGCGGCTTCCGGCGCTGCGGCGGAAGTCCCGCTGTGAGTCGTCGTGCATTTTCCATACAGATCTGTGGTAGCCTGAAAAAAGACGCGAATAAAAAAGATAATCATTTCTCTTTCCGTAAAAAAAAGTTATCGCCGTTTGTGTTTCTCCGCCCGAGAAGAATACACGCGTTGCTCGCATTTCCATCCAGTGCGAAAGAAGAAAATATTTTGCGCAGCGATTAAAATCGCTCCGGGAGGGACGCGAATAATTCTTCCTGATAATTTCTTCCTGATCCCTACAATAGGTACTTACCACCCCCGTGTTGGGATCTTTGGCGCCGTTGCTAAAGGTGGAAGCCAGGGTGCTGGAGCAGCTCTCGTCGTAATGCGCGTTCTGACCGTCGTTGATGGCACTGTTGATGCTGATGGTCCACATACTTGCGGCATACCCGTCACAATTACAATCGTCCTCCTCTCCGCCGTCCCCGGAGGCCCAAACGTAGATATTGCCCAATCCGTTTCTGCCCTGATGAGAACACGGGAGCAGAAAACGAGCGACATGAATAAGGAATCATGTTCGAAACGACACAATTTTTTTTTCAACAACGCACATAAAAATAAAAGAGAAAACTAAGATTCTACAAGAAAATTAAGATCGAACATTAAAATTCTTTTAATATGTCGATTTTATCAGATATTAATAGAATTTTAATTTTTAATCTCTCTCTCTCTCTCTCTAAATATTCTATGGAATTGAAAGAATAAGACTATTCTCGGCTTTTCTTTCCTCCGCGAATAATGGATCGGCACCTGATTATTAGGCTCGCGCGAGAGAAAATTAAAAAGGAAATTGAATTAAAAGCGAGAGTAACGTTCATCACTCGCGCGATAATCGCTATTAGCGCGAGCGCATTTTTCCCATCCACTTTCTCTTCGACTTCCTCTTCGAAAGAAAATTCTGACTTTATTTAACACGAGAATTACGATAGCGAGAACTTTAGCGTAAGGCGGTAAGGATTTTTATCGTTATCGATACGGGTTTCAGCAATCAGCAATTCTATTAATCTCGCTAATGGCCTCTGGTGAATAATTAATTAAGGGCGTACCTCATTAACGCCACGAACGATGGCCCTCATGGTAGCGTTGCGCGGTCCGTCCACCGTTTTCCCGTCGTCCGTGGGTCCCCAGGAGGCGCTATAAATATCTATGAGATCGGGCTCGTGGCCCATGCTGTTCGCCTCGATCAGATCGGTCATGTAGGGTTGGTCCAGCATCCGGATACCGGCGATCTTCGAGTCGTACGCCACCCCGACGCCGCACACCCCGTTGTCGCGCGCGGCCGCGACCTCCCCGGCGCACCTCGTGCCGTGGCTTTTCATTTACAAAGGACGTAAAGCTTTAGAACTTTCGTTATACTCCGCTTATTGCGGCGCGGAAGAGTTTCGCCGCGCGATTCACGCCGGGATGTAGGACGCGCCTTTGTTTTACTTTCGAACACAAGTGCCTTTGTCTCCAATGCCCTCCGTTAAGAACGCTCGTTCGCCCACCCTCATCCCCGTGCGATTCGTTTATCTACTTCTTTCGGACTACGGCCCGATTAACTTCTCTCATTGTATTCCTTCCTCGGGACGTAATCCTTTGTTCAAATATAAGATATATAATGCATACACCCGCTCTTACCTGTTAAACCAGTCGTCGGTGTACCTCGGGTACGGATAAGGGTCGTTACTGCTGAAGTCGTAAGAAGCTTTCGCGTTCTGAAAGGGAACGTCGATTTCGGCGATCTTATTAAATCATCAAATATTTACGGCTCGCGAAATTGCGGTTACGCCGGGTTTATATTTATATTTAAACCCGAGCCAGTACAAAATCGATATCGAATCCTAACGAAAATAATGATAAAAAGACGGCTTTGCATGTTCGTCGTTAAAACGTTATAAGTCGTCGAATGTTACACGGAGAAACGCAATAACTGCAGATTTTTTCCGACGAAATATTATAAATAATTATTCTTCTTTATCTCTACGCGGCTCGCATTTAATCGTTATCTGAGGTTTGGAATTCCTGACGTGTTTCTACGAAAGGTGCGCCAAGAATGGCATCCGTGCGAAAGTATGAAGAGAAAATATTTGCCACATGCTACAATGTACTTTAACATGCTACGTTATTAATATTAAATTACATTTTTCGTAGAAATATTAGATGTAATTAGATGTAAATATCGTGCATTTTGCAATAAATTAGTTTTGCATTTTGCGACGCGTTGCAGTTTCGCGAAATCTTTTTTCTCAGGTTTATATGCGATTAACTTGTATTAAATCGATGCAAGAAGATTCATTTAGAATAGACAACCGAGAACAAAAGTACAATTTTGAGGACAATTTTTGCTAAAACAATCATTAGCTTCAACGTGATTTTTGCATCTTTTAAAAACTTTAGACATTATTAAAAATGAAAATTTTATATAAAGAAGTTTCGTATCTAAAGTATCTAAAAATTTGGTTAAATACAAATTTAAAAATAATTTTATTGAGCAAAATAATTACGCAGATTAATTTAAACATGATTATTAAATATTAATATTAAAATTTGCTTATAATTTAGTATAAATATTTTAATGGTTTAATAAAATTATTTTCAAGTTGTATCTGGACTAGAAATTTTTATATTTTTCAGCAAAACCATTTTTTTCGTGTAGTAGAAAAATGCGAAACCTTTTGCGTCGAAATATTAATATTACAACAAATACATATGCTTACGTAATTATATTTAAGATCCGGATGCATGTAATCGACACCTGCAATAGAAGCGGAAACGTAGCAATTAGTACATACAATGCGGATATTGCGCGTCGATGGTGAGGGAAACCCCGACATTATATACGATGTTTAACGTAAATAAGTTCCGAATATCGCGAAAAAGAAAGAAAGGGGATAACGAGGGGATGATGGCGAACGGCGACAGCGGCAAAGTGGCAATTTTGTTTCTTCGTTAATGAAAAGCGGTTGCCATTAAAAGGACGCGGACGGGCCAACCTTGTTATACCATTCGCCGAATACAGTTATCACGGACGCTCGGAAAATACATCCCCCGTCTCTTTCTCTCTCCCTCGGTGAAACGGGAGAGCGTTGCGTAACACTCGCGCTACCCTCTCGACGCGATATCGATTCAAAGCTACCAGTTCCCTCGAACTGCACTCGAGGGCGCGTGTAATTTAATGCCCGTTTTTTGTCTTCGGGACGATCTCCATATTTGCTTGAGGAAGAAAGGAAGAGAATTAAACAAACGGGGCTGAAACGTTCCCTCAACGTACCGTCGTCCATGATGGCCGTCGTCACGTTTTTCCCCGTGACACCCTGAGCCCAGGCGGCCTCGACGTTTAGATCCAGCTTCGGTTTGCCGCCGTTCTGCCCGACATTCTTCAGATACCATTGGTACTTGAAAAAGGGATCTGTCGGATCCTTGCTCGCCGGATTCGTGGGATTCTTAATTTCGTACAGCGGCACGAGGTTGTCCACGCTTAGGGGCTTGTAACCCCTTTTCACTCTCTTGAAGCCAGCCTGTTGTATAGCCATGGCCACCTAAATTTTTATCGTGCTTTAACCCTCTTTACGTCGCCCTCTTTAAATACTAGAGAGGAAAAGGCATCGATATTGCCTGACCCTTTTGCTACCCTACGTCGAGGTAAACTCGACACAATACCTCGCATAACAACCTTCCGTATTGTTCTCCAAACATTCGAAGAGATTGTATTTACAATCAGCAAAATATACTTTTGAAATTTCCATGAATATCTCCAAGTAACATAAGTTATAAATTATTATATATTAAATTCAGATTAAATTTAGAATAAAATATTTAATTAACAAGAAACTGTTTAAAGATAACGATTTTATGTTCCATTGCGGTAACAAGAAATGGGACACTCTCGTGTCTAAACAGGCATGTAAAACCTTTTCAAGCTTAATTCTTGTCGTAATAAAAAAATGACGCTAGAACGACCTGATGATTCTTAATCAGCTACATTAACATTTTGATAAGTTCCCTTTTTTTTTTCTTTACGGTGATAATTGTCGCGTAGGTGCGACCTCGCAAAGGAGATATCAACTTACCATAGGGTCGACCTTTAATCTTCGCGTGTGCGGCACAGATCGTTTGCTTCGTACATGCGGTAAAGCTCTATGTACGAAATGATACTCCGTCTGACTGCCCAATACCTTCAAAAAATTTTTAAAGTTTTACTCCTTAAATTCACTTTTAAATTTAACTTATTTTCGGAATAAAAAAATAAATGGAGTCAAAGTAAGCTGAATCTCACAATTAGTTAAATCAGCATGTTAACATGTTTTTTTTCGATTACGATGAATATTTTATGCACTTTATCAAAAAATGGAAGAAATCCTCTTTTCCTCTTTTGCGTTATATTTTATTTCAGTATGTATATAGCACGATATACGGAAAAATGACATTTATATAATTTATAGAAGAATTTATAAAAGCACACAAATATTTTATTTCAACTTATATATGACTTATATACTTTATATATGAAATATAAATATGAAATATAAATATAATATTTTATTCCATTTATATCTATATTTATATTTATTTTGTAAATAGTTATGTCATGATTACAAGTTTCTTCTGTACATGAAAAAAGTATAAAATCATAATGTATTTTATTATTTTCATTCTTTATTTCTTTCTCTTTTTCCTCGACAAAAAACTTTTTAATTCCGTTCGCCGGAGGGTTGGAAATCAAACGAATGACGACAATACATGCAAAAAAGGAATGCAAAATGAGTTAAACTTAATACCTGGGAGGAAAAAAATCGTAAACGAAATCCCTGAATGCGGAAATTTTAATAGTACACGGATTAAGAATGTCGCTCATTTTTTTCTTTTTTACATCGATTCTAAAACGTCTTTAATCCGATTCCCCGTTGTGCCCACGTCGGCAAATAAAGAGAATTTTATTGAGATAAAATAATTAGTTTTCTGGGCCGCGTCGTAAATAGCGAAGATCTCGGCACAGCGACTATTTACGTAAATCCTTGTTGCGGTTCCAATATGGTCGCCAATAGTACCGTCGCGGAAAAATGGGGACAGGAATCAGGATTGTTTTTCCCCAGTCTGGAATAGTTTCTCAATTGCGCCATTTTCTTTCCTTTTTTTTTTTTTTTTTTTTGTATAAATATTTGAACGCTGCCTATTTGTTGTTACATCGCCGTCGTCATTTTCTCGCGAAATTAATGACGTTGTCCGCGATATAATCTGTGAAATGAGAGGGAATGACAAGTTCGACAACTTGTTAAGCTGCAGGCGGATTCTCCTAATCGCTTTAACGCGTATCTATGCTTGTGCAACACAAAATCACTGCCAAACGTGGCAGAATTAATCGCGTCACAGTGGAGGCGATCGATCCCGACGATAATTTAGCACTCCACGTCCCATGGCGGTTAATCGTACGAGACAGCCAGGAAACAGTTTTAATCGGAAGAAACTACGTCATCACGCTGGTAAATAAAGCTTACAGGATATCAATTTTCTCCACATTGGTAAAGTTGCATCAGAAATCGTTTATCTAATACCGTATGGTCGGTTATCAGTGATATGACCACAAACAGGGAGATGCTAACTAAAAAACGTAAAAAATAAAAAAAAAAAAAAAAAAAAAAAAAAAGAAAATACGAACAACATTACGTGGAAACAAAATTCCTTCACGCGAGATTGTGTTTTATAAAAAATTAAACCGACAACGCTAAAAGAAATTGGCAATATCCTTTTTTTTGTTTTATGCTTGTAACGGTGAGAAATGATGAATTTAACACCAACAGTAGAAAAATATAAATAAAAATAATGTTTCGTTAAAGGAAATATGGATGACTTTTTATGAATTTCAAATAATTTAACTCGACAGCACTTCAATTTTTGCCATTCTTCTGAATAAAAGATACAAATTTAAAAGATATAAATTTTGATTCATTCCTTGAAAATTGCAATTTATATTGCAAGTAATAACAAGTTCAATTTGTAAAAGTTAATTTAAAATTAAAACAGAATCCTGTTTTTAAAAAATTTTATTCCATATTTTCATATTACTTCTTCGTGTAAAGTCGTTATCTTTCCTCGTTAATAACCACTCCGTGTACGCGTGTCAACACAGAAACACGTGTTGTGATTTTTTAAACCAGTCCCATTTTCTCGGGTATTGATCTCGAAGTAACTTTGTCTCGTTTCGATGCAGACTAGGCTAGCTCAATTAAACTTGGCCAATAGAAGCTTGCGTTAACTAAGTCTGATTTATGCGAATTCTTTTTATTAGCGCAATTCACAAGTTTCGTTTATTACTTATTCAACGAAGTGGTAAAATAATTGTTAAGTTAAGTTAAGGCACGTATAGTAATTAAAAAAGGATTAATCCTTTTTTAATTATATTCAAAAATTATTATCATAAAATTTTCGTACAATATGCGTGATCAGTGAGGTACTTTTTACTTATTAAGAAAAAAAGTTCTAGTTGTAAAAGAAACACGATAGCAGTTCGTTTAAAAAGCTTCCACTCGATAAGTTACAAAGGCAGCTCTTATAGCAAGTCGAGGCTTTTCTATAAATAATATAAGCTCAAATAAATGTCTCGAATAACGCCTGAGTCCCTCTCGACGATTATTAACGAACTTTCGCAAACTTGGTTTTTTTTCTCTCCCTTCATAAATGGAAGTACATCAAATTATAGCGAAAAAAAAGATGATTTTGTTCGAGCCGAGCCGCAGTTTATTTTTCATATCACGGAAATGAAGTATTCGAAAAAAATTATTTAAGCTTTCCATTTCCTCTTTTCTCCATATCGTAATATCTTTGATAAACCGGTTTGTTTGCCCGTGCTATTCTACTCTGAAATACTACTGTTACACATAAAGAAATAGGTATGTAAAAAATGTAGAAGCATGATACACAACCGATAGAATATCCAATATATATGCCGCTGTAAAAATGTGATAATAGTCAAGTCGAGACTTTATCGATCAAGATGTATGTTTACGTCAAGATATGAGATTAAAGGGAATTAAAATATTTAATCACGTTTCCCCACGTTTTATACATCACCTTTAATATTACATTCTATATAATATTATTCTTTCTTCTTATTACAATATTATTATATATTTATAAATTAAGATATATTGAAACGTACAAGATGTAACAAATTATCATATGCTGTTACATTTATATAATTATGTAACATAATATTTATTATAATATTATGAAATAAATAAAATACATATTGAAACATGAAATAAACGTAACGAATTATCATCTGTATACTGTTGCATTATTTATTACAATGTATCGTGCATATAATAAAATGACTTCGCATGACGGTGCACCAAGCGAACGGAACGAGTGATCGAATTTGCTAGCGATTGCGGCACTCGCGGTGTTCCCGCAATCAGTGGAGTACATCAAACTGCAGGCGGACGTGGCGGACTGAGTCTGACGCGTGGCGTGGCGTGGCGTCGGCGTGTATGCGTCAAAGGGTCGCGAAGTCGATACGAAATATAGGTACTTAAGCGGGCGACAACAGCGGAGTGCAGCGAGATTTCCTCTCTGTTCTTTTTTTTCTTTTTTTTTTTCCGTCTCTCATCGCGCGACCAGGCTGCTCAGATATGCGCGTCGCGACACGCATCCCCTCGGATCTCCATATTCATCGACAGAGGATAACGATGCACGTGAATGCGAAGCGCTCGTCGATCGATTCTACACTACTTAAAAATTTATCAGCTTCCGCTGCAAATACCCCCGGACTACTTTCGCCGTTGGAGAATCAACGTTTCGAAACGGGAAATTCGAGGCACGCGTGATTCGCGTGAGAAAATCCGCGCATTCGATTCGCGCGCGTATTATTTCCCTCTCGCGAGAGAGAATTTTTCTGTGCCATTTGTGGTTTTTTTTTTTTCTACGAACGATCGACGTATCGCGAAGCTATATTTAATTAATTTAATTCTGGTAACAGGCTATTAAAAATGTTTCTTTGCAAAAAAAGGGAGACGTGGTGCGAGATCAATCGGCACGGGACGCCGATGAATGACGTTGTTTCTATCGGACAGCCCGCCCGGAAAATACAACTGGAAACACAGTGCAATCTGTTACGAAGTAATTGGACGTGCTGCGATGGAAATCTCGGCGGTCCTGCGGTTTCGGTAATCGCGATAGTAAAAGGGATATTCGCGTCCTCTCTCCCTCCCGCGTCCACTCGTCAGCGATTAATCGGGCATGTAATCAATCTGGAAACATGTGGGATGACTCGCGCCCATCGTTCTGGGAATTTCGTGGTGTCCTCATCGATATCCTCATCTCGCCATCGGCCGATGTATAAATGCTAGGCGGATATCTCGTTTTCGTGACATTTATTGGAGAATCGAGTTCAACCGTACATAATGGACGCTACATAATGAACGGATACATAATGGACGGATATATATATACGTAACATCCCCGACGGCGAAGTTTACGGACGTGGGGTACGAGAGTCGGACGGGAGAAACTTTTATTTCGAGAGAGAGAGAGAGACTCTCCGCATGCCATTTCTCGCGTATTCAACTCGACGCTTGAACGCCATACGTCGAGGAAACGAATGACTCGCGGAAGACATTCGCGCAAAGTCGTCAAAACGTTTGACGATTTTTTTAATCAATCATATGTTCCTGGACTTTCCTCCGCTCGCGATTTGGACACCTAAATCTCCGTTGAAGCGCGCTCGAGATAAAGGGAATGAGAATCTAGACGGAAGGGAAGGAAAAAGGACAAGAAATAGAATTCTGTGAGAAATTATCAATTAATTGCTGCGCGCTTAATTAACGTGTTCTTAAGTACGACAGTATCCATCAGTAATTTTTTTTCTTTTTTTTTCGTTTCTCCCCGTGGTAGTATCGTTAAGGAGGCGGACTTACCGGCCCGAGATTGACGAAGCCGTTCCTCAGCGCGACGTTAATCGGCTTCGTGCCTCTCCGCAGGCTGCCGCATCCTCACCAGGAACGTGTTGGTAAAGACCTCGGCGGTCGTCGTGCCGGCGAGGACGAGGAGCCCGATCACCGCGAGTAGTAGCATCGTGACGAGAGGCGGCCGGCGAAGTAGCACGTCCAGGTCGTACTTCGCATTCGCAGGTTCGGGGATACTGGACACTCGAGGTACTCGGCTACTCGAGGTACGCGACGGTACTACGAACTTCGTGGCGGCGGCGGCGGCGGCGGCGGCGGCGGTGGTGACGGTGGAGGTGGAGACGGCGGCGGCGGCGGCGGCGGCGGCGGCGGCGATGGTGGTGGTGACGGCGACAATGACGACGACGGAGGCGGAGGAGGCAGAGGCGGATGCGGCAGTGACAGTCAGTTCACAGACACATAACGCGCGGACGACGAAGGACCGACGAGGGCAGGAAAGAGGGAGAAAAGGAAAAAGAGGAGGATATAGCTCTTTTTCCACCCCGACGACGATGACGGGTGTCGAGCGCGTCGCTCGGCGCTACAACGCGGTGGATCCGACCGGCAGGAAGTGGAGGAACTCGCGACGCGGACGTGCGACGCGGACCACTGAATCCATCCGGGTGGCGGGATACCGCGTCTCGATACCGTGTGAGAAAAATAGGAAAAAGAAGAGAGAGGGAGAAAGAGAGAACTGACGATAACGACGACGACGTTTAACGCGCAAACGCCGAGTTTCTCTTCTATGATACAAAGATACGCGAACGAGGGAAAAAGCTTCCGACGAGAGATCCGCCGCTCTTTCCTGAATGTTTTTTTTTTTTTTTTTTCGGATCGCGTTTGATTAATAGAACGTGGATCCTCCGAGAAGAACCGGGAGAATGAAACGAAACGCGCAACGACTGGAAAAGGGGTGGAAAAGGGGGAGCTCGATTGCGTAGCCGTGCCGCGTAGACAACGAAGCGAGCAGGTGATAAACCTTTTGGATGACGTCACTCGATATATTGATCAAAGTGGCGGCACGACGTCCGCGACTAACATGGGAAATTTGGCAGTCGCGCGTGCGCGAATTCGTTTCGTTTCTTGAGGATAATAAGAAATATTCGAGCAGAATTCTTAAATAAGGCGTTACGGAGTAATATATATCGGAGTAATATATTTCGTTATTCACATTACATGTAGCTACTTTAATAATATTGTTTATGCTTTAATATTTTTATTGTTTTAGTACTATTTAGTACTATTTTTTTAAATAAAATTTTGTGTAATTATTTTTCAATTATAAAATTGCAATTATAATAATTCTGTAAGAAACGCTATTATCCCAAAAAATCAATGATTTTTTAATTTGTTTAAAAATAAACGGATAAAAATTAAATATATATAATATTTAATTTAATAATGTTGCTGCATCGTTGAAAATTTAAAGAGAAGAGTTGTGTATGTAAAATATAAACTCTATGTTTATATTTCTCTCAAAATTTTTTGCAGAAAACAATGAGTAATTATTTTATTATTTCTATGCAAACACATTTGGTTGAAAATATGCGAAAAAAGATCCGATAACGAACGAAAATTATAAAGCATAATATTATTTGCAACTGTTTAACTAGGCAAAAATACTTTTTCGGAAAATTACAAATTTTTCATTTTCATCTCTCATCTTTTAATCCATTTTCAGAAAAAGATCATAATAGCACTCATTTTGCATTTAAATATGAATACACATGTTTTATTCATAATGCGTTGCTATCATGCAGAGAAAAAGATGAATATACACGTAGTTATGTGTAAAAATATAATTTTATATTACAACTTTCTACGTAGAAATGTCAAGGATTATATTACAAGGAAAGTCTCTTACTTACATAAACTTCTTAATTCTTGATTTTTCTTTTATATAAAATAGAAAAAATATAAAATATGTTGCACGTTATATCTTAATGTTTCTTATCTGCTAGATACGCTTTAAATTTTAATAAAAACGACGAGAGTTAGGTGTATGAAATCGCAACATCTAAATATGAATATAAATGTCCAAATTGATTAATTATTAAAATTAAAAGCGTAACTCAACAAATGATACGCGTATTTTTCGCAAATACAGTAAATAGAGGAAACGAAGGAAAAGAAAGTACAAAAATCATGAGCTTATATATATGTAGGAACTATATAAGAACCCTCATATAAAATATTTAATCTAGTTACCTAAGTTGCCTAATATGAAATTGATCAAGTATAAAAAACGAAACGCTTCATATTATCAACAAGATGATGTATAAAATGGTCTGATAATAATTTTCATGCACGAAATATATATATAATCAATTATATATTTATTTTTATAACATAATTTCTACTTGATCTTAGGTCCGAATATGTTACAAAAAATTGATATCTCGTGAAAAAGAGTTAAATTCCAAATTAAATCCATCTATATCGCAATTCTGATATATCAAAAGAAGATCAGTTTAAATCAATAAAAAAAAAAATGTATTTTATTTGATAAA